GAAAACAAATAACAGCTTATGGTAGTGAGGATGTTGTATAATAGGAACTCTTCTCCATTGTGGGTGTGAGTGAAAACTTTGTACAGCCACTGTGGAAATCAGTGCGGCACTTTCTCAGGAAGATGGGAATTGAATTATCTCAAGATCAAGCTGTACCACTCATGAGCATATGCATAAAAGACTGTAAATCATACAATACTGACACATGCTCAACCATAATCATTGCTGGTCTACTCATAATAGCCAGCAATAAGAAGAGACTACATGTCCACCAACGGATGAGTGACTGAGACAGTTTTGGTTTACAATAAAATGGCGTAAAAAATGTAGTTTCCTCATCTTTAACTCTTCGGTCACAATTACTCATTGGGACCTACTGTGGGAATTCTCTGTTTTGTCTCAGTGTGGATGTCCTCATGTGGAATGCCATGGGTTCCATTGTACATTTCTAGCACCCTTATTGAGAGAAGAACCTAGCTCCAAGACCAATGTTTACAGTTTGAAAGGGCTATTCCACTTCCTTTCAATAACTCTCAAAATCTCTTCACCACAATGCCTCATGGTAATGCACGGAATTGGTACCATGATAGTATCCTTATTCTAAGTGTATAGTTTGAACTCCTGGCCATGCTATCATTTACCATTTGGTGAGGTCTTCATTTCTCTCAGTATTTTGACGTATGTCTTACACATATTGATAACTGTTAATGATACTTTGTCATTAAGTTTTGAAGTTATCTGTTAATTCATAAAAGTAAAATCAATGTTCTTCTTTATACCTGTCTCCTATGGTTCCACCTAGGCAAATTACTCATTATGTTCAGGATTTTTGCTTTGATTTTCTGTAGCTCACTTAGGATGTTCCTTCATAATGCTCACATCTTCTCACATATAATCTGGGGCACATTGCCACTGTGCACCCAATATAACAACAGATAACAGCAAGAAAGACTGATGAAAATGGGGTGCTCACCAGGCTCCCCCATAATCTCTTACTAATTTGGTTTTCTTTTAACTTTCCAGGTTCTGTGCCTGTGTGTACAGTGAGGAGGGAGGGGAAATATTTCATCAATGCCAAGTTGGCCTGCATGTGAACAGTCTTTAATTTTTTATATATGTATGGATGTTTTGCTACATGTATGCCTGTGTACCAGATATAAGCCTAGTACTCCTGGAGTCCATAGAGGAAGCCATAAAACCCTGGACCTGAGCATGCAGATAGTTCTTGTGCCCTGTGTGGGTGCTGGGAATGAAATCTGGGTCCTTGAGAGGTGTAGCCAGTCCTTCCTTACCTGCTTAGGCAACACTCCAGTCATGTAAGCTTTTTATGAGGAATATGAACAATAACTAACATTATTTGCATATCTAACTATTAGGAACTTGTGTGTTAGCATGTGTGAGAGTTGTTATGAAAGGATAAGGTGCAAATTGAACCACAGATCCCTTTGATTGTTTAAACAGCTGAATTCCTAGGATTACTGGATAAAACAGAGCTACGATAAAACATCTCATCAAAATAAGAAATACAAAGTAAAAGAGTGAAGTGAGGGCTGGAATCAGAGGCTTACGCTATAATCCCAGAACTCACAAATTAGAAGCAGGAGGAACAGGAGTCCAGGCCTGCCTCAGATACATAGTCAGTTCTTGGCCATCCTGAACTATACGAGATCACATACCAGAAAAAAAAATGTTAAATGTAAAAGAAAGACTGCTTTGAGAAGCATGAGCTCAGCTTGCCAAACCAGAGGGGATGCAGTTGAATTGGAGAGCTGATAGACTGTTGTCTCTGAACTATAATTCAGTGAGTGAACAGGGCCTGAAGATTGGATTTCCATCCTCAATATGGAAGAAAGATGGTTCTCATTTTTCTTTTCTTCTTCTTTCTTTCTTTCTTTGTGTGTGTGTGTGTGCTCTCAGAGCTTCTTCTGGTCCTGCAATGACTATTTGGATAAGCCTGATAATGCAGAATATTATTACAATTGTGATTATATGTGTAGGAAACACGGTGTGGTTATGGGCAGAGGAATTCTCAAAATAGAGTTTATTTTTAATTCTTGTTTTTCACACTTCAAGAACTGTGAAGTTTAGTGTTGTCAGAGTTTGACCTCTGAAGAGAAGAACCACAAGGAAGGAAGCTGCCCAAGAACGGTGGTTCCTCCAGGTGAAGCTGTTCAAACCAAGCTTCTAGGTGGGCTGTTAGCTATTCCAGATACCCTCCTCAGTTTGGGCAGGAAGAGCATCTTGCAGATGTGAAGCGACAACACCACTGCTGAGGGCTGAGGGTGTGACCAGAGGTTGGAGGTGTGATTACCCTGAATAGACAGCTTCAGAGTATCTGTCTCACTGGAAGTGAGTGGGCACATGATGTGGTTTCCCAAATACAGCAGCTCAAGTAGCAAAGAGCCAGGAATATCAGTATATATTGGAAAATATGTTAATGGTTATCTGAATGTGATTTTTGTACAAAAGGGAAATCAGAAGAAAAATTTTAAAAAGTGGAAAACATTTTCCAAATTTCTCACCTTTATTAGCTAGTTGTGATGCAATTCCATGCTTTCCATTTTCTTTGCTGTATTTTGCTCAAAGAACTGCAATGTGGAAGTCAATCAGTTAGTTATGAAGATACTCTATCTTCTAATGTAATCATCTTCATTTGAAGACTTTTCTTTACCAGAAACTCAGTGCTCTGCAATAAACAGAAGAATCTGAAGCTGCTGAATTATTTTGCATTCTGAAAGTCATTGGTATGATTCTGCTTCTTCCTAAACTGAAACATCAGTATGAGTCTGTCTTCACTTTGTGTTTAGTTTCTGTTCATTTTGTTGTCTTTGTTTGTCAAGCACACTGTAGGTACCAAATATATTTTGCATTCTGCTGTCACAGAGAGGAAGGAAAGGATATTGAGCATGTGTCACAGACTTGGAGACAGAGGAGAGAAGCAACACTCAAAAATGTGCACGTGCTCTGCACTTGTTCAGTGTTCATTCTGAGGACCACAGCCTCCCATCGAGGACAGAAATCAGAAAAATGTCTCAAAAGAATTAACTTTCTATCAACAGTTTGATGTGGATCACCAGACCTGATGTCATCTGTGTTGTTATCTACAACAGCAGTTTCTCATTGCCGTGGACTTGCAGGGTCTTCAGTTTCTCTTATAGTCTCTGTTTTATTCTAAAAACAACAACAACAACAACAAAAAGAAAACAAACAAAAAGCCACCTGTCCTCCCAGTATCTTAAGTTCTTTTTCCTTTATCACTAAATATGGACACCAACCACAAAGGGGATGAAGGGTTTATTTTAGCTCACAGTTCAAGGTTACAGTCCTTCATGGTAGGGAAGTCAGCTGAAGCTTGAGGCAGCTGCTCACATTTCATCTGTTGCAAGAAATAGAGTGAGTGGTGAGACTTTGTGCTCAGTTGCTGTCTTCATCTATATGATCTGGGATCCCAGCATCAGGTACAAGGGATAGACCTTCCGACCTCAATTTATCTAGCAAAGATAATCCCTAGAAGTCATTTTCAGAGCTAAATCTAACCTAGATAATCTCTGACAGGTGTGCCCAAGGCTCGTCTCTGCCTGTTACTGTCACATCAATAACACTAACCACCTCTCCTAGTGACATGGTGGGATAGAGAACCTAGTTCATTGTGTAAGCTGGTTTATTTCAGTTGCTATAACAGAGCAACAAACAGTCTGGGCAATTTATCCCAAAATGAAAGCTGTTTGGCCTTAGACTTCTTGAGCTTGCAAATCTGAAGTTCAGGTGTCATCATTTAGGGTGAGACCTAACATTTGCCAACCCATGACACACAGTGAAGTGGGAAAATTCAGATAGGCCTCTGTAGAAGAATGAATGGGTTCGGTGGACTTGCCTTATGACAATTGCTGTCAGAGAAGAGGGGTGTTTTATACACAAAGTCTCTCTTAATAGTTCTAGGTGGTCAGGAACTCAATATATAATAGACCAAACTGTCCTTGCATTTCTGAGTATTCTTCTGCCTCTGCTTCCTGGGATTGCAGCAGTGTGTTGTCATGTAAGTTTTTTTTATATAATCCATATTGAAGTTGTCATGTGCATCACCCCCACATACATATAATGTATACTCATAAAGGAATTTATATATGTAACAGAGAACTGAGGAGGATAGGCAGGAGAAGAGTGAGTTTGAATCCAGCCTGAGACACACAGTGACTTTCAGGACACTATGAGATATACAACAGGATACTGTCTGAAACATAACCAAGAGACCAAACCTAGCTACCAAGAAAATAAACAAACCCTTAAAGAGTAAGCACTTATCTCAGGGTATAGCACTTACAGACATGAATAAGACACTGGGTTTGATTGTCCAGCCACATTGAAATGACAGCAATGAAATCACCTGATATAGAAAGATATCAACTTTCATTTTAAATATTATGTGTGGATTAAAAAGTAGCTCAGTACTTAACAAGAAAATCATAACAGAAATGTGATCCTCTTATGACATTTCTAATATACATCCACTTTCAATATATACAATTCAAAAACAAAAAGTAATATTTCCTCTGAAATATTAATGAAAAGCAAAGTTCTTGAAAATTATTAAAACTTGGAACTGAAGAATTTAATCATCCCATTTGTTTTTTGGTTTTTGGAGAAAGGGTTTGTCTGTGGCCTTGGAACCTATCATTTATTCTATATAACCTCTTATTTATATAGAGCGGTTTCAGCCATTTGTTGTAACCAATGACTTTTTAGAGTTACATTACATTTTAGCTGAAGATATTGGCAGTGTTTTCTCTAAATATATTTTCCTTCATCCTTGCAGTCATCAAATACTGATTACAAACGATTCAGCTGCATATGAAGTGGGGACCATTTCAAGTATACGAATGCATAACTCATGCTTTCAGTATCAGCTCTCAACATACAATTTCCTCTTCACTTTGGTCAAAAGGAGGGGCAGAACTATAAGCGCTGAAGTATGCAGAAGGGACACTTCTTTTAATTTGGAGCTTCTGAAGAGATACAGAGCTGGAAAGGACAATTTGTTCCTCATCTTTGGTTCCCTCCTCCTGCATCACCCCCTGTCTGGGGAATAGGTAACAGCTACTCTGATTTCTTCAGATATCTCTATCACACGATCATACTTATTCTAGAGAAATTCTGTTTGGTTACAAATGGCAAGCATTACAACGACATAGATAAGAAAGACAATTGATGATATTAGACCTCTATTAAGTCTGCGTGTGAACATTTGCCTTAAGCTTCAAGAAAGGTATTTTCTCTTACTGTGCTATTACTTATGTTTTATGTAATCAAAAACAATAATCAGCAGGATTAATTACTTTGTAATTAGTTCAAGTGGTTTACATAGTTTCTTCCACACGTTGTAGACTTTTATAATAGGAAATAGTTTTATTTTTAGAGGATTAGGGAAATTGTAAATGATCTTAGAAAATTTCATCAATTGTAATGTATTAGAATTACTAAGCATGAATAGAGTCCATGGACTCTATTTTAATATTTAATATTACCTGGTTATTGGTTGCCCCTTCAAATACTGTTTAATGAAAGAAACAAGGTAAATTATAAGTATCTCTAATTTAATAATTTTCATACTGATTATTATCCCAAGAATGAATAATTTATGAGTATAATACTCACTGACAAATTTTCTATATTTCTATATTTTTTGAGACAGAATCTATCTCTATAGTTGTGGCTATTTGAAAATTTGGTAACTAGATGTTCTGACTTTAGGGATCCTCCTGCCTCTGACTCTGAGTGCTAGGACAAAATGCATGTACAACTGTAGAAAAAATTATTTTATATAGGGTCCTAATTTTTGTGGAATGTTCGTGTCCATGGAATCCTTTGTAGTTATGAATACAGGTATTTTGGGTTTTACTCAGGAGACTTTCTAATCACATCTGGAAACTGCAAATTTAACTTCCTATAATATTCCTTTCATATAATCCTTTGGACATTGTTTCAGGCATATACTTTGTAAATGTGGTCAAAAGACAACAAGATCATTTTATATTCACATGTGTATCACAACGTTTACAAAAGCTTTAAAAGCAAAGAGATTTGCTTTCAAGAAAGTTTTAAACATCTGATGTATTAGTAATAGTTTTAAATTATGTCAGTTACTTGGGGTATCACCAGTTTTGTCAAGCATTCGTATGGCTGTGTTGGCAATTCAAATTCAAATTTCCCATACCTTCCAACAATCGTTGATGTGACCACTAGCTAAAAATGTTTTTCACATTTTGTAGAAACCAAACACCATCCACACTCTTTACAGGATTCAGATCCTTAAAAGAGGTAATAAACTTCTATCCTACCCCAGCATAAAATTCTAGAATGTTCTAAACTTGGACAATTTAATTTTTTCTTTACCTAGACATCATCCCAAAACAAGGTTTTAATTTAAACCTTCATTACTTCGTTTCAAGATGAGGAATCAGGAGGTGACTTATTCAAACTCAAGAGATTTTAGACATCTTCAGAGTCATAGAATCCAGCCAGTCCTGAGGAGACTCAAGGTCCCAGAGAGGCTGGACAAAAAGGTGAATGCTCTCCTCCTATGCACTGTACACACCAGACATTGAAAACTGACCTAGCCTTTCTGCTGATTGCCAGCTGATAATAGAGGACCGTGGAGGGAAGAATGATGACTTGAAAGGTTTTATAAAACTAACCTTTGAGACTTGAAAAATTAATGATTTATTTTGCTTTGTGTTAGTTGTTTATTGTTGCAGTTTTGGTGGTTGTTTTTTGTTTTGTGTTTTGTTTTGAGTCAGGGTCTCAAATAGACAGGACTAGTCTTGACTGTGCTGTGTAGCAAAGGGTGACCCAGAATCCTTAATTCTCCTAGCTTAGTCTCTCAAGTTCTGGGATTACATTTGTGAGCCACTTTGCCTGCTTGGAATACACTTTTATAAATTTGAAAAACCATCAGGTTTCAGTTATTTTTATCAAAATACGGGTAAAATGTAAAGTCCTTAGAAAGTATTAACTACAGTCTAAAGAAACTCTGAATTTTCTAAGAAATGATATCTTAAAGAAATGAAAAGTGTAAAGTTCTTACTAGAGCAAGATATTCCATGTGTTTCATCAAACTTCAATGCCAGTCATCAGCAACAACAGTCAGGTCAGAAGAGACATGTAAATTCTTTATTCTCTATTTACCTTGCCCTTCAAATGTAGTCACATGTAAACGCTAAACTGGACACTTTTGCTACATTAGTGTGGTGATAATGAGAGGCAGATGCAAGAACCCAAGACCTCAAATGCTCAAGGTTAGATATCTTATTTTCCTGAGAGAAACAGAATTGATGGACAAGAAAAGAGCTCACTTCTAGGAATTCTTTAAGGATGGGCCCTTACAGATTTCAGAATATTCATATTGCCTTCCAATTTCTCAAGCCATTGGTTGATACTACCTTCCTCTTTGTTCTTAGTTGTGATCACTCGCTGGGTTGCTAATTACCGTCTGGTGTTCCCTTCCTGCATCTTGCTTATGCCTTCAGTAATTTGTAAGGTGAACTTTTGAAACCATGTGCACCTGGATGAGGCAGCTTGAGCTTGTCATTCCAGTTGTCTGTGAGGCTGAGTCAGAAAGACGGAGAGTTCAAGGCTGAATGGGAAAAAATTATCTAGTCATAAAGAACTGCTTCTGTACATAGGGTATAAACAGAATCATGTATGTCATCTAGAAATCTAAAATTCAAACTTTTCTTTTTGCAGTTTATTAGAAATTATTAATCATATAAGATAACTGGCTTCATTACGACTTTTGTCTATGCATATAATTTATTGATCATCGCTAATCCATTATTATTATATCCTGTTCCCCCTTCCTTCTGTTCCCCTACCAGTATATCCACACCCTCCTTTGATTTATTGTCTGTGTTGTTTACTCTCCATTTAATTACTAGTTACATGTCTGCATGTGTATAAATAATTTGTACTTCCATTTAGCATTGTTCACATGCATGTGTTTTAATGCTGACCACTCAATATCAGATATTCACTTAGGTACTCAACCCTAGGAGAGATTTATTTTCTCTCAGGTGTCATCAGTAGCCTGCCGTTTTATCAAGGATTGGGGTCATGTGGAGATCTCCCCTGGCCATATCAGCATGTCCTCTGATATTATGGTTGGTCATGTCTTGCTTAGGCTATAATATTCTTGAGATTGCCTGGGTGCAGCTTCCTTTTCATGCAGATGCCCTGAGTCTCCGTGTTTGACAATCTTTTTATCCTCTCTTCTGAGCTATTCTCCAAACGTCAGGTGTAGGAGTGAGTCTGTATTCTGGAATTTTACTTAAGACATTAAGTTATCATCATTTGTTTCATAAAAAGCCCCAGTTATGGGTAGCAGTGGACTATTGGATGGTCCTGGTGATGGTTTTCTTACCTATTTTGATGTCTTTAGGCGTGTTTAATCTCTTTACATCTCATTGCAGTGCCTCTCGCGGTCCTTTGCTTACTTTTGATGATGGCAATCTCAGTGTGGCTGATATACACTGAGTAATTCAAATACATCATTTGTCTAGGTAATGCCAATAGACACTAATTATGCCACAAAGACCATATTTTTCCCCTATTTTGCCTGTCACGAGGTGACATTCCAGGTGGCCTGGATTTTGTAAGGTTTTTATTTTACCCTGCACACCTGAACCCTTGAACATCACGGTGACTCTGGGGCTGCCTTATTCTGTCTTAACTCATGATGACATGGCTTCTGAAAACAGATGTGTTTGTGATGTTCTGCTTTTGGAGCTCAGGTGATTATGAATCTGACATATACAAGCTGTAAGGAATAGGTACACAGAACACATTGTGCCATTTTGTAGATTTTTGCCCCAGGTCATATTGAGGACAGGATTAAGGTAAAAGACTGAATCTGTACGCAAAAGTTAGAAAGAAGTGCTGGAGCTTCAGTTTGTCTTTTATTCGATGTCATCACATTCTTAGAGAAAACCACTGATGGGAAGGGCTCCAACACAGCTGCATATTTGCATGTTCTTGTCTCTCCTCCTTAAAAAAAGCATTATTTTTAAGGTCAAAATAGCAATTTAAGTAATGATGTATGCTGGTTCTCAACATGAATCTTTTCCTCTAATCTTTAATTTGGTAATTATTTCTTATGGGCATCATTTTAGTTTTATTTCCTACTAATTTTAGTTTTTCAGTATAGCCAAGAAAAACATAAACTGCAGAAAACTCTTAACAATCTCCAGCAGTACCTCAGCATTCAAAGTATTGCCTCCTTAATTGAGGAATGCTGAGAAATAAATCAATAAAGTGTGTTGCTTTAAAGATCATCTGGACTTCCTCAAAAGAGAATGGAATAGACTCTGTGGGAAAACATACAGCATACAGGTACTGGGGGAATCTTGAATACTTACTTGCATTAGTGGGTTAATGGATAGGGTTTCCTTATCTCATGTAGGGCACAGAAACTTAGAAATCCCTGTTTGGATTAGGAGAATCTTAGAATTTCTAGAACCCAGTGGCCATTCCTCCACTACTAATGTTCCCAGGGAATGGACTCACAAGTCAGCACCCCTAAGAATTCAGGTTGTTTTGATTTATGAGCAAATCCAAGTCTCCAATTTTGTTCCTGAAGAACATGGAAGTTTCCAGTAAGAGTGTATTTACCAAATATTTAGGACAAAATAGAATAAGGGTGCTTACATGATTACAGTCATAAATAAAAGTGTGTGTGTAATTTCCTCATTACTTGCTATCAAATAGGTTGCCTGTTTGTGACCAAGATGTTCTCGCGGCATGCACAGGAGAGCTTCACCATGGAACCAGCAATTGTGAGCTTCTGTTAATGACCCCAGTAGTAATAGTAAAAAGATGATAATGTGTGTTATGAGAAAACTGCCTTACTTTGCATCATGGCTGGTCAGAAAAATTAGAGTCTGAAAAACACACCAAATGTTCTGGAGAAATGAAAAAATCTTAATTAAGGATTTTTATTCAACTTTATATACTAACCACGGTTCTTCCCCCTTCCCCTCTTTCTGCTACCCCTTCCCTCCCTCACCCAACTCCCCATCCACTCCTCAGAAAGGGTAAGGCCTCCATTGGGGAATCAACAAACTCTGGCATATCAAGTTGAGGCAGGACCAAGCCCCTACCTCCTCTATCTAGCCTGAGCATGGGAGTCTTCTATAGGAAGTGGGCTCCAAAAAAGTCAGTTCATGCACTAGGGATACATCCTGGTCCATTTCCCGAGGTGCCACAGAATTGTCAATCACATTCAGAGGACCCAGTTCTGTCCTATCCAGGTTCCCCAGCTGGGAAACAAGAGTCAATGAGCTCCCACTAGCTTGGTCTGCTGTCCCTGTGATTTCCCCATCACGATCTTGACCACTTTGCTCATGTAATCCCTCCTCTGTTTCTTGAACTTGACGCTGTGAGTTCAACTCAGTGCTTAGTGATGAATCTCTGCATCTGTTTCCATCAGTTACTAGTTGAAGGTTCTATAATGACAAGTAGGGTGGTCATCAATATGATTACATGGGTAGGCCAGTTCAGGCACCCTCTACACTACTGCTTTGAGTCTTAGATGGGGTTATCCTTGTGGACTCCTAGGGATTTCCCTAGCACAAGTTTTCTCCCTAGCTGCATAATGGCTCCCACTATCAAGAAATCTCTTTCATTGCTCTCCCTTTCTGTCCCTCCTGCAACTCAACCATCCTGTTTTCTCATGTACTCCTCCCAACTCCCCTTCATAACCCTCATGCTCCAAATATACTCAGGAGATTTTATTTATTTCTCCTTCCCAGGAGCATCCATGATGTCTCTCTGAGGGTACTTGCTGTTTAATAGCTTCTCAAGGAATGTGGATTGTAGCCTGGTTATCATTTTCTTTACATCTAATATGCATATGCACTTATGACTGAGATATACCATGTTTGTCTTTCTTGGTCTGGGTTACCTCACTCAGAATGATATTTTTCTAGTTCTATCCATTTGCCTGCAAATTTTAATATTCAATTTTTATTATTTTTTCCATTTTTTATTTAAATTAGAAACATGCATGCTTCAAATGTCAATCCCAGCTCCCCATCCTTCTCCCTCCCAGCCCTACCCCCATCCCTCACCCCCAGCCCAATCCCCACATCTTTCCCCAGGGATGGTGAGACCCTCCTTGTGGGGATCTCCAGAGTCTGTCATTTCATCCAGGGCAGGACCTAGGCTCTTCCCCATGTGTCCAGGCTGAGAGAGCATCCCTCCATGTGGAATGGGCTCCTAAAGTTCATTTGTATGCCATGGTGAACACTAATCCTCTGCCCAAGGCCCCAGAGATTTCTGAGGCCTCCTCACTGACATTACATTCAAGGAGTTTGGATCAGTCCCTTGTTGGCCTCTCAGCCATCAGTCTGGGGTTCAAGAGCTCCCCCTTGTCCACTCAGCTGCCTTTGTGGGTTTCACCAGCTGGTCTTGACTCCTTTGCTCATCACTCTGCCCTCTCTGCAAGGCCACAAAAATTGCCAAGGCATCCTCACTGACACCCACATTTGTCACGACCACCTCAACCAGCAAG